AACAACAGCCTTGAAGGCTTTCACAACCGACTCAACCGAGGTCTCCCTCACCAACATCCCAACATCTACCGATTTGTGGAGGTAGTCAGGAAGGTGGAACAGGCAGAACGAGCTAAGTTTTTAGCAGCTCCAAGAGCCAGGAAGAGAGTGTACAGAGAGGTGGAGAACCGTCTCTGCCGCCTGAAGGACGAGTTGAATAGAGAGGTGAAATCCCCAATGCAGGTTTAAGATGCGGTTGGCCATCTCCTCAGGCTGGGATAAAGAGTGCACTGAACATTTGAGATGAAATTTATTATAATGTATTATGAATTTTGAAAAATGAACATTTTATTATAATGTATTATGAATTTTGAATAATATCGTAATCGTAATTAAATATTTATCTCAATCTATTCGTGTTTCTTGGGTTGTTCCACTGTATGAAATAGGTAACAGACTAGGGATTAGCAGTGCCATGGACCGTGAACTTTGTTGTCTTAAGCTGTAGGGGAAATGGGATGTAGGGGTTTGGGGAGGTTACCCCTGTTTCGGAAGCTTGAGTACTGCTGAGTAAATATATACTATTATCACAGCCTGTTGCTATCAACACTGTATGTTTGTATTTGACACTGCCCACTGCCATCATGTTATATATTACCATTGAATATTGTACCACCACTCTATTGTGTACTGCCATTGTAATGCTGTACCACCACTCTATTGTGTACTGCCATTGTAATGCTGTACCACCACTCTATTGTGTACTGTCACTGTAATTGCTGTACTACCACTCTATTGTGTACTGCCATTGTAATGCTGTACAACCACTCTATTGTGTACTGCCATTGTAATGCTGTACCACCACTCTATTGTGTACTGTCACTGTAATTGCTGTACTACCACTCTATTGTGTACTGCCATTGTAATGCTGTACTACCACTCTATTGTGTACTGCCATTGTAATGCTGTACCACCACTCTATTGTGTACTGCCATTGTAATGCTGTACCACCACTCTATTGTGTACTGTCACTGTAATTGCTGTACTACCACTCTATTGTGTACTGCCATTGTAATGCTGTACAACCACTCTATTGTGTACTGCCATTGTAATGCTGTACCACCACTCTATTGTGTACTGCCATTGTAATGCTGTACCACCACTCTATTGTGTACTGTCACTGTAATTGCTGTACTACCACTCTATTGTGTACTGCCATTGTAATGCTGTACAACCACTCTATTGTGTACTGCCATTGTAATGCTGTACTACCACTCTATTGTGTACTGCCATTGTAATGCTGTACCACCACTCTATTGTGTACTGCCATTGTAATGCTGTACCACCACTCTATTGTGTACTGTCACTGTAATTGCTGTACTACCACTCTATTGTGTACTGCCATTGTAATGCTGTACAACCACTCTATTGTGTACTGCCATTGTAATGCTGTACCACCACTCTATTGTGTACTGCCATTGTAATGCTGTACCACCACTCTATTGTGTACTGTCACTGTAATTGCTGTACCACCACTCTATTGTGTACTGCCATTGTAATGCTGTACAACCACTCTATTGTGTACTGCCATTGTAATGCTGTACCACCACTCTATTGTGTACTGCCATTGTAATGCTGTACCACCACTCTATTGTGTACTGTCACTGTAATTGCTGTACTACCACTCTATTGTGTACTGCCATTGTAATGCTGTACAACCACTCTATTGTGTACTGCCATTGTAATGCTGTACCACCACTCTATTGTGTACTGTCACTGTAATTGCTGTACTACCACTCTATTGTGTACTGTCATTGTAATGCTGTACTACCACTCTATTGTGTACTGCCATTGTAATGCTGTACTACCACTCTATTGTGTACTGCTATTGTAATGCTGTACTACCACTCTATTGTGTACTGCCATTGTAATGCTGTACTACCACTCTATTGTGTACTGCCATTGTAATGCTGTACTACCACTCTATTGTGTACTGCCATTGTAATGCTGTACTACCACTCTATTGTGTACTGCCATTGTAATGCTGTACAACCACTCTATTGTGTACTGCCATTGTAATGCTGTACAACCACTCTATTGTGTACTGCCATTGTAATGCTGTACTACCACTCTATTGTGTACTGCCATTGTAATGCTGTACTACCACTCTATTGTGTACTGCCATTGTAATGCTGTACAACCACTCTATTGTGTACTGCCATTGTAATGCTGTACAACCACTCTATTGTGTACTGCCATTGTAATGCTGTACTACCACTCTATTGTGTACTGCCATTGTAATGCTGTACTACCACTCTATTGTGTACTGCCATTGTAATGCTGTACTACCACTCTATTGTGTACTGCCATTGTAATGCTGTACCACCACTCTATTGTGTACTGCCATTGTAATGCTGTACTACCACTCTATTGTGTACTGCCATTGTAATGCTGTACTACCACTCTATTGTGTACTGCCATTGTAATGCTGTACTACCACTCTATTGTGTACTGCCATTGTAATGCTGTACCACCACTCTATTGTGTACTGCCATTGTAATGCTGTACCACCACTCTATTGTGTACTGTCACTGTAATTGCTGTACTACCACTCTATTGTGTACTGTCATTGTAATGCTGTACTACCACTCTATTGTGTACTGCCATTGTAATGCTGTACTACCACTCTATTGTGTACTGCTATTGTAATGCTGTACTACCACTCTATTGTGTACTGCCATTGTAATGCTGTACTACCACTCTATTGTGTACTGCCATTGTAATGCTGTACTACCACTCTATTGTGTACTGCCATTGTAATGCTGTACTACCACTCTATTGTGTACTGCCATTGTAATGCTGTACAACCACTCTATTGTGTACTGCCATTGTAATGCTGTACAACCACTCTATTGTGTACTGCCATTGTAATGCTGTACTACCACTCTATTGTGTACTGCCATTGTAATGCTGTACTACCACTCTATTGTGTACTGCCATTGTAATGCTGTACAACCACTCTATTATGTACTGCCATTGTAATGCTGTACAACCACTCTATTGTGTACTGCCATTGTAATGCTGTACTACCACTCTATTGTGTACTGCCATTGTAATGCTGTACTACCACTCTATTGTGTACTGCCATTGTAATGCTGTACTACCACTCTATTGTGTACTGCCATTGTAATGCTGTACCACCACTCTATTGTGTACTGCCATTGTAATGCTGTACTACCACTCTATTGTGTACTGCCATTGTAATGCTGTACTACCACTCTATTGTGTACTGCCATTGTAATGCTGTACTACCACTCTATTGTGTACTGCCATTGTAATGCTGTACTACCACTCTATTGTGTACTGCCATTGTAATGCTGTACCACCACTATATTGTGTACTGCCATTGTAATGCTGTACTACCACTCTATTGTGTACTGCCATTGTAATGCTGTACAACCACTCTATTGTGTACTGCCATTGTAATGCTGTACTACCACTCTATTGTGTACTGCCATTGTAATGCTGTACTACCACTCTATTGTGTACTGCCATTGTAATGCTGTACCACCACTATATTGTGTACTGCCATTGTAATGCTGTACTACCACTCTATTGTGTACTGCCATTGTAATGCTGTACTACCACTCTATTGTGTACTGCCATTGTAATGCTGTACTACCACTCTATTGTGTACTGCCATTGTAATGCTGTACCACCACTATATTGTGTACTGCCATTGTAATGCTGTACAACCACTCTATTGTGTACTGCCATTGTAATTGTGTTTTCTCTGTATCATATGTTGTGCTGCTGATGTGACAGCCGTGCCAGGGGGGGGGGGGGGGGGGCATCCTCTTCGAGGTCCCCCCTGCCACGATTAGACCCTGCTGCTTTCCTCTTTGTGGTGGCATCTGAAGGGGCATCCTCTTCGAGGTCCCCCCTGTCACGATTATACCCTGCTGCTTTCCTCTCTGTGGTGGCATCTGAAGGGGCATCCTCTTCGAGGTTCCCCCTGTCACGATTATACCCTGCTGCTTTCCTCTTTGTGGTGGCATCTGAAGGGGCATCCTCCCCTAGTATTGCGACCAGAAGTAGTTTCACAGCAAATGAATGCGAAATACGTCATATTATATACTGCCATTGAATGCTGTACAACCACTCTATTGTGTACTGCCATTGTAATTGCTGTGCAGTAATTTGTATTGATTTGGAAACTTAGTGAATTTTGTGATACATTTGTTTATTGTATATCACTGATGGTTTCACACTGATTTCTTTTACAAACAGATTTCTGGATTGACATATTGTTTCAATTTCGACATTTAACAACTGTCATCTGTATAGTGCGGCGTTAAACAACATTAAAAAGCTGCCTGCCTGGTATAACGTAGGTGTACGCGTGATGATGGAACATGTAGATATTACAGCCTTCACGGACCTAACGCTCATGGTAATCGATTTTGTCACGTGAAAGTTGGCTGTCAAATCATCAGTTGGCACCACCTGTCAAAGTGTTTTAGTAATCCGCGGGTAATAGGTACGCTCTCTTTCCAGTATAATGTTGAAGCACACACACAGATACTGTTGACACAGGGGTTTTTCACGAAATACATAACATTTATCACAAACATGATTCACGGTGGTATATCAGTCCTTTTGCAATTTGCCATCCCCTGGTATCGATATGTAACGTGAAGTGTATGCGAGTATGTATGGCGTTGTATATAACACGAATAATTCACTAGGGTTCCAGTAATGTAATAACTTACTCAATTCATGATTCCTGGATATATGAAGACCCGTGTCAATATCTCATTAGTTTGTTTTTTTCTAAACCAATAGGTGAAAATATAACCTAATGATTAATATGTACGTTTGTGTTTGTGTGTACCTAATATGTGACCGTCATGCTTGTATCTGTACGTCCTCACTAACTGCCCGTCAATATGCTTGCCAATGGAGAAACGATATGTATGTATTGAATCGAGCATCGTATATGTAGGTTCTGTTATCAATAGCTACTTGGAATCGGAGAGAACCACTGGAGCTTGTGCCATATCGTGTTTTCTCTGTATCATATGTTGTGCTGCTGACGTGACAGCCGTGCCAGGGCGGGCGTCCTCTTCGAGGTCCCCCCTGCCACGATTAGACCCTGCTGCTTTCCTCTTTGTGGTGGCATCTGAAGGGGCATCCTCTTCGAGGTCCCCCCTGCCACGATTAGACCCTGCTGCTTTCCTCTTTGTGGTGGCATCTGAAGGGGCATCCTCTTCGAGGTCCCCCCTGCCACGATTAGACCCTGCTGCTTTCCTCTTTGTGGTGGCATCTGAAGGGGCATCCTCTTCGAGGTCCCCCCTGCCACGATTAGACCCTGCTGCTTTCCTCTTTGTGGTGGCATCTGAAGGGGCATCCTCTTCATGGTCCCCCCTGCCACGATTAGACCCTGCTGCTTTCCTCTTTGTGGTGGCATCTGAAGGGGCATCCTCTTCGAGGTCCCCCCTGCCACGATTAGACCCTGCTGCTTTCCTCTTTGTGGTGGCATCTGAAGGGGCATCCTCTTCGAGGTCCCCCCTGCCACGATTAGACCCTGCTGCTTTCCTCTTTGTGGTGGCATCTGAAGGGGCATCCTCCCCTGGTATTGTACTCACATCTTCCTGGGTGTTAAGCTCTTGTTCTGCAAGTACTTGATCACTGCAAGTTACTCGAGTGTGTCAACTTCCTCAAGTTTGTCAAGTTTGTTATAGATGCTTTTTTTAATTTACTGACTTGACTCAGCGAATCAGTTTGCTCATTTGACTCACATTTACATGCACTTGGGAAGCTTGGATGTGTACCAATAACACCCCGAATTGCTAAATGTGTGATGATACGTGCGATGGCATAGTCCAACACCCATAACTATATTGTAAAGCCTCAGCTAAACTGAGGAACCCCTTTATGAACATATATTCGACATTCCCTATTGTATACGTGAGCCCTGGTTGAATGGCTGAGCCCTGGTGTTATCCCTATCAAGAGCAATACGCTCCTGGAATCTAAGATCTCGATCTATCTATGGATAATACAACGAGTCTTACCACTGTATGTTTGTTGTTTAACGCCGCACTCAGCAATAGTCCAGCTATATGACGGCGGTCTGTAAATGATCGCGTCTGGACCAGACAGTCCAGTGATTAACATCATGAGCATCGATTCAATGACATGCATCAACCAAGTCAGTGTGCCTGATCAGCCGATCCCGTTAGTCGCCTCTTACGACGAGCATAGTCGCCTGTTCTTACGTTCATAGTGATGTACAACGCTATAACTGTACACAGACAACATACTCCTCCTGACAGTCGACCAGAAGTAGTTTCACAGCAAATGAATACGAAATACGTCATATGAGGAATGTGAGAAATGTATCAATATCTATCTTATACAACAGCAATGTCACAGTATGTCACAACTGGTCATTATGACAGCATGTAACAATAATAGGTGTTGGAGAAACCGCGTTGGAGCATTCACCATTTTTGACAATGTCGTTATCGAGTGGGCCCCTGGTGTGTATTGGTTAGCATCAGTACCAAGCAACCTCTGCTGGAAGATGAATTGGGTGTGGGCTCGGTATCTTGGTTGATGATTGCAACCTAACGACGTGGAACTTATATCATGATATAGATTACGTCACATATTTCCTTATTTAGAACGTTTGCTCGTCACGCCGAAGACCCGGGTTCGATTCCCGACATGGGTACAATGTGTGAAGCCCATTTCTGGTGTCCCCCGCCGTGATACTGCTGGAATATTGCTAAAAGCGGCGTAAAACCATACTCACTCACTCACTTATTTAGAAAATATATTAAGACATCTTCAAACCATCGACAACGGGCATGGTGTTCACAAACATTGAAACATAATCATATCCACATTCAAACTCACGGCGAATTGAAGAGCCTCAGACGACTGGGTCCCCCGTGCCCATATTGGTGTAGAATGTGAACGTAATCGACAGTATAATTAACGTGGATGAGAAGGAGCATTCTGATTTCCTCACGATGTTGCTCGCTCCAAGTCAGATTACATGACGGCTCTCTTACGTCAAAATTATCTGAGGGCGATAGCTCGATTATAACTGATATCACGGTGCCAATTGTTTTGGTCATTAGATTTGTTGCCTACAAGCTAAAGAACGTATTTCAAAACATAAACAAGTGTTCAGAAAAGTGATGAACTTATGGCAAAAGCCGGTAGTGACCACCGTTATATTATGTTACAAGTTCATTTTCGTGTCTGCATGTGTATATGGTTACATAAATATGTTTGCTTCAGTCAGGGTTGCTCAGAGGAGAATGTCTATGCCATTCTGTTTTTGTTAAGATTGATCCAAGACTGACAATAACAGATGTTAAAGTGAACCAGTGTTGCATTTCTATTTCTAAACAGTAGTTCATCTTTTATTCGCCTTTTCAGAATGCTTTTCTCAGTAGAAGGTGATTGTCACATCAGGGAGTAATACCAAAGACAGATAAGAACTAGTAATCAACTCATTCACCCTTTGCTAGATCGCCTCCGTGGGCAAGTGGTAGCGCACCTGCACTGAGAGCGGAAGGTCCGGTGTTCCATGCCCAGCCAAAACCAAAAGACGTTAAAAGATGGTACTTGTTGTTACTCTGTCTTGCGCTTGGCGTTAAAGGACTAAAACAAGGACTGTCGGCTCGGGGTCAGTATACAGTGTCTGAGTGGGGTATGCATGTTAAACTGCGGCATGGTATCTCAGTGGGCTAGCACTATAAAATCGGACTAGTATAAGAGCGCGCGCGCACGCACGCACGCACACGCACACATACATACATACACACACACACACACACACACACACACACACACGTCGCTAAATGAATGCAATAATCTTGGACGCGACGTTAAACCCCACCTAAACACTCAATTTACTAACAAAATATTCACTCACACTAACTGACTTCAGCCCACTGTTACTCTGCCACACATATCATACACACGCATACGTTCACTTACTAACCAATCACTTCGCTCCTTCCCCTCAACCCTCTCCCCACTGATACATGTTGATACTAAAACCACACCAAATCATAATGTAAATCATCAATCAATACAGCAATGCATATTACATCAGGTATCAGGTTGGTGAAGCAGTCTAGCATACACCACACACAGTGTGTTATGGAATATCACTGTCACCCTCAAGGTGAATCCAGCCACTGCGGTAATGCTATACTGTTTCCACAGATGTAACTCCAACTCTCACAGTAAACGTCTCACATCGGCTCTATCTTTCTCTCATCCCTATAAAATACTGTTTTAGCTAAATCTCGCGTTCTCGCGATCTCTCATTCTCGCACTTTGGGCATATTTAGCTCGTTTCCTGAGATAGAGATGGCGAGAATGCGAGATCGCGAGAATGTCCCTTACAGTATTCCATACATCACAGGCGTTTGCCGGGTCTCGGTCGTCATCACTTCCTCGCTTTCGATCACACAGTCCAGCTGCCTTGCTCACTATAAGGCTTCCCTCTGACCCGGACACTATAGAATCCAATGTAAAAACCTCAGTACACACTACCATTCAGCCTCCAATGTAAACACCTCAGTACACACTGCCATTCATCCTCCAATGTAAGCACCTCAGTACACACTACCATTCATCCTCCAACGTAAGCACCTCAGTACACACTACCATTCATCCTCCAATGTAAGCACCTCAGTACACACTACCATTCATCCTCCAATGTACACACCTCAGTACACACTACCATTCATCCTCCAACGTAAGCACCTCGGTACACACTACCATTCATCCTCCAATGTAAGCACCTCAGTACACACTACCATTCATCCTACAACGTAAACACCTCAGGACACACTGCCATTCATCCTCCAATGTAAGCAACTCAGTACACACTACCATTCATCCTCCAATGTAAGCACCTCAGTACACACAACCGTTCATCCTCCAATGTAAGCACCTCAGTACACACTACCGTTCATCCTCCAACGTAAACACCTCAGGACACACTACCGTTCATCCTCCAATGTAAACACCTCAGTACACACTACCATTCATCCTCCAATGTAAGCACCTCAGTACACACTACCATTCATCCTCCAACGTAAGCACCTCGGTACACACTACCATTCATCCTCCAATGTAAGCACCTCAGGACACACTACCATTCATCCTCCAATGTACACACCTCAGGACACACTACCATTCATCCTCCAACGTAAGCACCTCAGTACACACTACCATTCATCCTCCAATGTAAGCACCTCAGGACACACTACCATTCATCCTCCAACGTAAGCACCTCAGTACACACTACCATTCATCCTCCAATGTAAGCACCTCAGGACACACTACCATTCATCCTCCAATGTAAGCACCTCAGTACACACTACCATTCATCCTCCAATGTAAGCACCTCAGGACACACTACCATTCATCCTCCAATGTAAGCACCTCAGGACACACTACCATTCATCCTCCAACGTAAGCACCTCAGTACACACTACCATTCATCCTCCAATGTAAGCACCTCAGTACACACTACCATTCATCCTCCAATGTACACACCTCAGTACACACTACCATTCATCCTCCAACGTAAGCACCTCGGTACACACTACCATTCATCCTCCAATGTAAGCACCTCAGTACACACAACCGTTCATCCTCCAATGTAAACACCTCAGTACACACTACCATTCATCCTCCAACGTAAGCACCTCAGTACACACTACCATTCATCCTCCAATGTAAGCACCTCAGTACACACAACTGTTCATCCTCCAATGTAAACACCTCAGTACACACTACCATTCATCCTCCAACGTAAGCACCTCAGTACACACTACCATTCATCCTCCAATGTAAGCACCTCAGTACACACAACCGTTCATCCTCCAATGTAAACACCTCAGTACACACTACCATTCATCCTCCAACGTAAGCACCTCAGTACACACTACCATTCATCCTCCAATGTAAGCACCTCAGTACACACAACCGTTCATCCTCCAATGTAAACACCTCAGTACACACTACCATTCATCCTCCAACGTAAGCACCTCAGTACACACTACCATTCATCCTCCAATGTAAGCACCTCAGTACACACAACCTTTCATCCTCCAATGTAAACACCTCAGTACACACTACCATTCATCCTCCAACGTAAGCACCTCAGTACACACTACCATGCATCCTCCAATGTAAGCACCTCAGTACACACAACCGTTCATCCTCCAATGTAAACACCTCAGTACACACTACCATTCATCCTCCAACGTAAGCACCTCAGTACACACTACCATTCATCCTCCAATGTAAGCACCTCAGTACACACTACCATTCATCCTCCAATGTAAACACCTCAGTACACACTACCATTCATCCTCCATGTAAGCACCTCAGTACACACTACCATTCATCCTCCAACGTAAACACCTCAGTACACACTACCATTCATCCTCCAATGTAAACACCTCAGTACACACTACCATTCATCCTCCAACGTAAACACCTCAGTACACACTACCATTCATCCTCCAACGTAAACACCTCAGTACACACTACCATTCATCCTCCAATAAGCATGAATATGCATATTCAGAATGGTTGTACTTACATGAGTAATTCAACACACAGTCGAGC